GTGTTCACGTCCTGTAAGATTATAAACTCAAACCTTGATCTTTTTTCCGAAACCTAACCACATGCATTACTTGAACAAAAAAAAAAAAAAAAAAAAGACTATTTGTGTTGTTGTACCAGTGTAGTGTGTTTGTTTTGGAAGAGACTGTCTGGAAGCATTACACTTCCTGTGAAAACAGAAGTGTATTTTGAACAAAGACAATGCATGTAACAGGCAGAACTTGACACGGTGTCCCAGAATGTCGACAACCAACCCACAAGGGTACATTTCATGTTTTATCCTGATGTGGAAGGTTCGTAACCAAAGGTCAATATGCAATGAGGTTGAAGTGATAATAATCTATAGTGTTGTCCCATGAAAAGATATAATGAAATATTTGCAAAAATGGGAGGGGTGTACTCACTTATGTGAGATACTGTATGTTGTAAAAGTAGTGCTCTGTAAAAACAACCATTTGTCACAGAACTGTCCTGGCAGGAAACATATGTTTTGGTAAAAGACAACTGGTTTTTGTAGGACTGTCCTAGGTAGTGGTTAGAGCACTCATCTTCCATGCGGAAGGTCTAGGGTGCGAATCCTGCTGGGGTCGATGTCAGCAAAGGCATGCGGTCGCAAGAGGTTCCCCCCGCTGAATCAAACGGGATCAGATTCCTTAAGGAGGCTTCAGGATAAGAAGTAAAAAAAAAGCGTCACACAACGGATCACAAATCCATCCTCATCTGGTGCCTAAAAAGCAACTGGAAATGCTAAAAAATCAACCGATTTTGTTGTTTGTTGGTCCTAAACAGCAGTCTGCAGCTTGGCAGGTGTTTGCCTGGCCATCTACCATCTCCTCCACCTCCCGATGACAAAGTCAGCTCTTTAGAAACACTGATATCATACATATGGAATGCACAAATGTAAGTGTTCTCTACTGGCGACAGGGCTGCAAGATTCTAATCTAATCAGCGTAAATCTTAAATTTAGACTTGAGGGGAGAAAATTTAATAGATTCTTGCAGTCGTTCAGGCAGGAACAGAAGTCATTTTTTAGTGGCACGTTTCATACATCTTCCAGTCATGTACTATGTTTGTGATTTGAAGGTGCTTATTCAGTCAGCATACAACCCTGAGCTCTGCATCCTCACTGCTACATACTGTAGCTCTCTCCACCTGCACAGGCCCCTCCTGTATCAGCATGTAGTCATACATGTTTCTTTAACATGTGTTCATGTTCATTAAATGTTGGGTGTCTCAGACTCTGCAGGGAGGGCGGTTGTCAGCTCAGGGATAGTCTTTGTCTGCTTGCTCAGATTTAAATGGCAAGAATATATGAAGTCTGTCAATTTTTTTTTACTCTGCATGATGTAACAGGGAAGAGGACCTAAATGCAGACACCGGCAGAGCAGGTTGAATTAAAGCAACATTACCAGAAAGTATGGTGGATAAAGCGGTTTACATTAAGTAACAAGAAGATGAGCAGGTTACAACAAAAATGTTGCTTCTTTTATTGAGATATGAAACCAGGGTGGCAGCTAGTCAGAACAGTCTCTGTTAAATGTGCCAAAACATGACACACTGTCTGGATTGCTGATGTAATATGGACATATATTGTCTGTCCTATACATTTCCTTAATGCAGCAAAGAAGTGCAGTTTTTGGTAGGAATATGAAGCTCTATGCAGTCTCTGTGATGTCCCAGTAACTAGGTCAGTGTATACTAAATATGATGTTGAGGCAGTATAGAATAATGCCAGCCTGATCCTGTAAGCTTGTGCTTTGCAGTGGTGCCTTATACAAGATTCCGACGACTGCTTTGTGTGTTCCACCATCTTGCGGCGCCACCATTAATGCGGTGGCAGTGTCTGCTGCTGCCTGCTGACAGTGACAGGCTTTGTCATTTTTCTTTATTCGTTTTGATGCCAGGGCTCTCCTCCTCGTGTGTGAAAGTTACACCCTATCAGTATTTTGCAAGAGCACAGTCCAAGACGATTGTGACTGGTTTAAAGACTTGCAAACAAGCTAGAATATTTCCCCCCTATAGCAGAATGATAATGTGTGCCTCTAGATGTTTCCATAGCGCTGACACAGTGCTGTGGAGATTGGTCTGGCTACGAAAGACTGCAGCCGCTCTAACCTGTTAATATGGGGGCCGAAAGAAAAGCAAAAGGTTCCGCAATACACGACTCATATGCTGGTAACAACATTGCAAAGATGCTTCCTCTCTTTAACAGGTTAGTGGGCTATAAGTGCCTTCCATTATGCATTTCCAGGCCATCCTCATACTGAAATCATCAAATACCCTTTGTCAGTGATTTTGGCGTTAGATACCGAAGCACAGAGACAATCTTCATGATATAATACCCACTGGGCAATGGCTATTCTGACACTTCCAGCTACGACTGTGGTAGACAGACTGAAAGGGCCATAAATTCATGAGTGGAGGTGGAAAGGTCAAACAAACACCGAAGCCCGCTGTTCATTTCCCATGTGAAACCAAAACTTTATGGAGTTATTTTAACAACAACACTAGTATGTGTAGCATGCTACACTAGTGACGTATGACACATGACATATGTCATGCGATGTGACATTACATGCTATTGTTCAGCCTCTCTTTAAAAAGCCAAACCTTGACAACTCTTGACAACAATTTTAGTCCCATCTCCCAGCTCACATTCCTGTCCAAAGTACTGGAGAAAACTGTCCACTCACAGCTTGTGTCTCATCTCGACACAGCAAAGATTCTGCTCTTCTCAAAGTGTCAAATGACTTACTGCTGTTAGATGGTGGTAATTGTGCCATTTTAATACTATTAGACCTCAGTGTGGCCTTTGACACTGTTGATCATAGTATATTATTAAACCATCTTCAGGAGCTGGTTGGCATCCAGGGAACTGCCCTCAAGGGGTTTGCCTCCAATTTATCGGACAGGTCTTTTTCTGTTAAGATTGGGGGCCTCTCCTCCTCATCTGCCCGTATCACTTGTGGTGTACCTCAAGGTTCCATCCTAGGGCCCATTTTATTTGCACTGTACATGCTTCCATTAGGCTCCATTTTCCTCCAGCGCAAAGTCTCTTTTCACTGTTATACTGACGACACACAAATTTGAACTTTAGTATTTTATTTTATATTTTCATGTTTGTAATTGTTCCTACCAGTTTATTCTGTTTTATATTTGTGTACATTTTATGTTGCTATATATTTATGTGTCATTCTTTTATATTGTACAGCACTTTGGTCAACTGCGGTTGTTTTTAAATGTGCTATATAAATAAACTTGATTTGATTTGATTACATTAGTAAGAACCTTACTTATTTCAAGCAAAACCATGATGTTTTCTCCAAAACCTAACCAGGGACTTTGTTGCCTACACCTAAGGAAGTACAAGTAAAGTGTTTTACCTACGTTGCAAGTTTATTTTGAAAATGTATGTAACAAGCACAAGCACAAGACTTTGTCCGTGAAGATCTGGAACTGATGCATGAGGCAGACTGATGTGTCACATTTTGACGTTCAGGACATTGACAAAGAGGTGGTATTTGACGAGTTCAGTTAAAAATGGGTTGCCATGTTAACATCCCCACATGTATTTCAATGAATCGCAATGCATTGGTCACGTGTCTCAAAAAACAATGACATAGCTCTGATTCTGATCCCTGATGATGTCGCAGATTTTCCCCGCATCCTGCAAGCTTGGTACATAGACGGGAAAGGTAAAAGTAGAAAATTGTACACTTAGGACAGCTTGTATTAAAACATGCATGTATGATGAACACTAAACAGAGCAGCAGATCAGTAGTTTAAATAGGTGATCATGTCACTACATGATGTGTTGAGTGTCCATATTACTGTGTATGAACAGGCATGTTGGCACAAACTGTTGTATAAAAATGAAACTGAGAATACTCCTCGGGCTCACTACTTTTTGGTTAAAATCATGCTGAGAAATATTGTAGCCTACGTTATTAGGCTACAGTATAATTAGTGACAGTACTCTCACACAGTAGGAATAAAATGAAAGAAAGGGGAGTAAGTGACTAAACTGATTTTCTGGAGTGACATTTTCAGCTGAGAGCTCATTGCACCTCCACAAAATCAAACTCCTGTGGTTGTAAAAATTGCAACAAGCAACTTGAATCAGTGAATGAGACAATTTCAGATTCTCAGCTGACCATTTCTCTCTGAGCTGGAGGGCTTTAGTGCCTCACTGCCTGAGGGCACCCGGTGGGACTGATGGATGGAGTTATATTGACCCAGAAAAGGCCACATTCATTTATTCATATACTGTTACTGTAAAAAGCAGCTTTTAGTCAGTTTGGATGTCTATATTTGAGCCTTTTATGGAAAAGAAGGAAATCAGTGTTGAACTCCTTTATGAAAAATGACAATTTAAGATTTCTTAAATCATTAGAGAAGAAGGTAGTTGATAAGAAGTGCCTTAAGAAATCGCATACATTGTTGGAATCTGTTTTTCATTTCGACATTAATTAAACATGTTTAAATGAAACTTAACTATGTAAAATATCAACTTAAATAACTGACGTGCTTTTAATGTTCTCTAATCATCATTCATGCTGTGCAGTGTGGAAACCGTGATAATAGTTTATAAAAGTTGACATTTTATTAAAAGAAAGTGCTCCTTGTTGGATCAATGTTATGCCGAAATTGAAAGAACCCCTCAACGATCAAAAAGGCATCTTTAAATTTTTTCGCAAAGTCTGTGCTGTTTCCCAAGAGGTGATGCTCCCATTAACCCTCCATATTTCAAACGGGATTCAGCTCACAGCTCTCCACGCCAGACGGAGGGGATTCTGTGATGCTGCCCCGCTGAAGTCATTAGTGGAGACGATGTGATGAACTGTGTAGTGCGGGTAAGCGCCACCTAAATGCTCGTGTCATGTGGTTAACAGTGTCGGTTTTTAACGAGCGCTCCCATCACGCTGGGTTAGACCCCGTATTGCCATGTTGCGGTAGCGCGCCCGTTAGAAATAATAAAGCGCTCCGTCTGTGAGCAGCGGCTGCGCGCCGTCGGGTCTGGTACCCTGTGCCAAAAGGACTTCACCCCACCTCCCCAAGAGGAAATAACGGCGGCTCTTCTCTCCGCTCGGCTGCATTCAAGCAAAGGTTAAGCCGCGGAGGGCGAGGAGCGTCAACTAAGGATACAAGTTTGAGATCAAGATGTCAGGAGCAGGTGCGGGATGCGGGTAAGTTTCTCCACACTGTCATGTCTGGATGAGATGCATTCTGCGGCGGACGACTCTTGAAGCGACTACATATATTTTTCTCTCTATATGCGTGAAATTAACCACACATCAGAAAAAGTTAGGTGACGTGGGAACATGCTGCGGCTCGTCAGAGCTGTCATATCGGGTAAAGTGGGTCAGGGAATGGCGCGTGGCTGCGTGCATCCAGGCACCTGACGGGTTTGTTTTGGTGCGTCTGGAAGTGGCAGAGCATTGGAGCATGGACACACAAACATCCGGCCACCTTCAGTCCCAGCATGCTTGGCTCTTTAGTTTGCATGTGCTGGTGTTGCTTTTGGCATTCATGAATGAATGAATGAATGAAGGTTGGCGGAGACAGTTTGGACAGCGGTGGTGATGATAGTGATGATAGTGATGATGATGATGATGATGATGATGGTTGTGAATGGGATGGCACTTACCTGTTGCAACCTAAGTGACCAGTGTAAAATTAGGAAACAGTCCAGCAGAGCGCAGTGACGCCTTTTGGGACATTTGTTGTTCACATTTCATGTAAAATCACACAACTGCATTAATATTTTGAATATTTCTGTCTTAATTTGTTTTTCATGTTAGTTTTTAATTAAAAAGTATTTGATGTTCAAGACAGGAGAACTGGTTTCAGTGCAGGTACAGTGGAGAATGCATGTCCAGCAGCACACTGACTTAACGCACATGCATTCAGTCGGATTTGAACCAATAATTTAATTCACAGACGAAAAGGAAGGTTTTAAAAAAAAAAAAAACAAGACATGATTATGTGAACTCCTGTTCTGCTTCCCTCCTCCTCCTCCTCCTCCTCCTCATGCAGCCAGTGGGGTATGAGGGCTTCATCGGAGGCTCAGAGTACCTGAGAGTCAGCGAGAGGCTCCTCTCCTCCTGCAGGCTTTGGCAGTGCCTCTCCTTTTGAAAGCTCATTTCCCATGCCTTTCATGCCTGCAGTTTAAACCCTTTGATGTTTTCTCGCGCTGAACCCTGTGCATTGAAACCGCTCTCGAGTATGTTAATGTTCTCTGATTGACTTATGAATCTTTTAATTAACCCACTTGTATGCGCACCGCAGCATTGTCCTCGATGAAATGCCATCAGGGGGAAACGGAGCCATGACAGAATGACATGCTGTCAATGGGGATTTCAAAGTCAATGGCAGTTTGTGTTTAAATGATCGCTGGGTTGATATTGTCTGCAACTTGTTTCTGTGAGAAATCCTCGCTCTGGATACAAAAAAAGTAGTGCCTTATACACTGGTGGATCTGGTGATTAAGACTTCAGCTACAGTATGCAATATTAATGACTTTGGGAGATATCAAAGGATGAACCTCAGAGATGCAATAGCCTCAAGTAAGCCTACATTAATAATGTGCTTAATTCCATCAGCAATTCCAGTGTTCCTTCAGCGCTTTCATGTTGAGCCTTGTGCCCAAATCAAAGCTTTTTAATTATTCCATACATTTTCATTTTTTATTGAGGATTTACATTACTTAGATGCCTGGTGCTCTTATTTTTCAAGGTTTTGTTTTTAAAGCTCAGTATCCACAAATTTTTGCACAGAAAAACACCCCCTTACATTTGTCATCATGGATTTTTCAAATGTGATTTTTAATAATAGATATCCCAAACTTGCACCACCGCACCCTGCATGTATGTGGAAGGTGTGTGTGAAATGGGATTAGTCATGTGATTACCACTAACAGTCAGTAGGTGGCAAAATGCTCTCAGGGATAAGAGGAGATCTATCACGGCGCTGTGTGACATTCTGAAGGGCAGCCCGCTGTAGTCAGAGCTGCTCAGCTGAGTTTCAGAGACATCGCTGTTGCTTCTCTGTCTCATCCCATTTCAGTCTTCAGAGGATGAAACTCAGGGCTCTTTAAAAAAAACACAACCTTATTACAGTGCTAGAATTTTCTTCACTGCTCTGTCAGAGAGCATAGGCTTCAAATGACTCAACCGCAGCTGAGGAATAAGTGTTGAATCCTAATTTGTGGGGTGTGCCGTGTCCCAGAATGCATGTCAGGGTTAGGGTGATACTCTTTTTTGAGGGCTGGTGCTTGTTTCCAGGCCGGATTTCCAGCCAGGGGGCAAAAAAGCCATTGATTAATTAGAAAAATGATTCCCAAAGTCCACCTACCACTCAGTAAGACTGAACATTTATGGCAACGTTGATGAGAAGTCAGAGAAACATGAAATTTAAATTCTTATTTCATTTTATCATATTGACTTTATTCAAAAATGATACGGATGTGATACGAGAGGATTCACAAGAGGAAAAAGGGACATCTAATCTAAAAAGGTGGCCACAAAGAACCACCCTGGCACAATAACGATGGGTGTAACTACATATGTACACATCCTGTCCCGTAGTGAAGCAACACATGACAGATGATACCAGAGAAGACAACACTCAATACACTGGGTGACATGACCGCAAAGCAAATAAACAAAAACAACTACATGAACAAACAAACAAAATACCCCAAAGACACTCCTCACCCCTAACCCAGTACCCTCTCTTTGCCATATTCGGCAGCAGTCTCTGTCATTAGTTTGGGCCTCTCTAACTCCGGCCTGTGTGGACGCAGAATAAACCTCGGCACGACAATAAAACCTGTTCCTGTCTTTCCAAATTCTGCTTCTGTAAGGTCTGGTAACACAAGAGATTTGTCCCCTGACAGACACAGCTGTGGGGATTCTGGTACAGCATGTCTGAGCCACCCTTTGAGATTTCTCACTACGACCTTCCACAAAGGTACCACCTTGGGACAGTCCCATAGAGCATGGAGCAATGTCCAACATTTATTGTTTTGCAGTAAGCCCATCTTAAACAGTTTCAGAGGTGTATAATAATATCTATGTGTGACTTTACAATGGATAAACTTACTTCTCTCATCCCTTGTAGCCCAATTCCAGCTCAAATCCTGCCGTAAATCTTCCCTAATCTCACAACTAAGATCCTTTTGCCATATTAGTCTCAGGCTGTCACACATTTTAGCTACAATATCTGACATTTTCCTATAAAAAAATTGGGGGCGAGTGTCGAGTATGAGGACAACTCAGAAACCCTTTAACCTTATTCTCTTCTTCCTTTATCCTTTTCAGTACAATGGAAGATCTTACACTGCTCCTCAGCTGTAAATAACCTCCAGAAATCCACTTTATTAGGTCTTTAACCTCCTCAAATTACATAAATGAGCAATCTCAGTACTGATCATTGACATCACATATGCCTTTTACAAATCATATATCTCAAGTGCCTTTTCCCTGTACATATTGAGGGCTTTGTTTGTACTGTGAAACGCCCAAAATTTTGTGCACCCTTGCCCATGCCCATTGGGAATGTTGTAGAACATCAGGCAGGAAAACTAGGCCCTCGAAACTATACATACAATACATAATATAAACATACACATGTAAGAATTTAGAACATTGTGTTTATGTATAGTGCATATAATCATGTATCATATGCACATTAAATAGGAAATACTGATATATAAGTATAAAATGTATAAACAGTATAATAGCAAGTGAAAAGTATAATATAATCTGAGCTGTCTGTGACGGGGTGACAGCTGCTGCCCCACTAAGTGTCTCCACTTGCTGCTTAACAAATACTGCAGAGTGCTGAACATGATTCTCCCCTCCACACATTTGGAGATGAAGGGGAGGAGCAGACGTGTCAGGGAGCCAAATATTATGTCTGAAAGAGATTGACTGCAATTGCCTCTAATGATGAATACATGTCGAGGGCTTTCAGTTACAGTGGTACAATGGAATGAGTTGGATTCCTGCTCCCCGCATACCAGGACGGACGCCCTGGCACTGTCTGTGCCTTGCTCTGGGGAATGGAACCCTAAACTCTGGCAGTGTTTGCACAGCCATGTTAGTCACGGACAGCTTGTCCAATTGTAGACTTGCAATCGAGTTTTTTTTCTTCTTGAGCAGAGAGCCAGGCATTGTTCAGTATGTAAGCTACAGAAGCTAATTTGCCTCCTTCTGTCACTTCAAAAAACTTTTTTCAACCTGAGATGAGTTTATTGCTATCAGTGCAAGGTCCATGGAAGAGATCAGTGACCTGTTCAGGTCATGATAATGAGTTTTCTAAGAAAATTAAGGTTTTCCTGGAACACAGACACTTAGTGGCTTTCTGTAAGTAATGGCATTCCTAACCATGAAGCATATCTAAATGATGCCGTAGGTATTATAAGCCATAGATATCTGTGGTGCCTTTGTTGCCATTATTTTATTCAAACAGACACATTTAGTAACTATGCAGGCTATTTGGACGCCATAAACAATGTAGTATGCTTCGTATTCTCTCTGACATTTTGGTGCTGTTTGTTGAAACAAGACTGAGAGTCTACGGCACTGTGTGATTGTGTTTAGCCACAGTGGGCTAAATGCTAACATCAGCATGCTAACATAATCACGTTTCCAGTGTTAACATGCTGATGTAGAGCAGGCATAATGTTTACCATATTCATCATCTTGGTGTGTTAGTGTGCCCATTGTAAACCTTCCCAAAACGACAGCCATGTCCCATTTCAGGAGCTCTTTGAAGTGATGACAGAAATGGTCTTTCAGGGGGTCTGCCCATTGGTCCGACAGCCCACTGGTCCGACATCCCATTGTTCTGACCATATTAAACCCATTGTTCCAAAGTCCTGTTGTTCCGAAATCATCATGATGCCCTGTGGTTAAGGTCTGGTTAGGTTTAGGCACAAAAACCACTTGGTTAGGGTCAGGAAAAGATCATGGTGTGGGTTAAAATGAAAAAGAAAGTGGCAAACACATAGCCCGTGAGCCTGCTTCGCCTCAAGCCTTTCCCAGCTGACCTAGAGCCGGTCGTGGAGCACCATCAAGGCAGAAATACGTCCACCGGGAGCCGTTCAGCACCGCGGAGAGCTCCCCACACAACCCCGACCCCAGAGTTAATAACAGGAGGTTATGGTGTTTCACTCTCTCCT